TTTCTAATTTGGTTGCCCCAGCTAAGAAGCTTACTTTGATATTTGGGGCCTGAGTGGGAAGGGGACTGAATAAGAAGTAATCCACGCATGTGTTGTCCTTTAGATATGGCCTTGGTTTCAGATCTCAAACCATTGCCCTGCAAATCATGGCGCCTAGGAGATATTTCCTATCCTATGAATATCTCTAACAGGACATTTCAGACAGTACATAGTTATCCATTATTCACAGCATATTATTGGTTAACTATTGGCCTGGCATCGGGGGAAAATTAACTGAGAAATTTCTCTCCACACCCACACAGGAATCATCTCCCTCAGGTGCAGGAGTGTTTAACTTGAGGTTGGTTCATCCCAAACCCACTCAGCTTGACAGGGGGTGCCTTCTCTGGACAGCGAGGATGACAACTAACCCACCCCTGCTGCTTGCCCTTCAATACCCAGCAAAGACCAGTTAAGTCTTCTAAACTAAGTGACAAGGAAAAGCATCTTAGTGTGCTTCTGCAGAAAAGGACAAGCCCTGATCATAAATGGCCCCCAGGCATGGTAGAGAAGGAGTGAGGACATGATAAAAGATGGGACTTTGCTTTGGGAGGGGCAAGAAGATTTGCAAGCTCCGCCAGGATAACTCTGCAGCCAAATCACTGTAGATGAGTCGTCTAAAATCTCTTTTAATGCCTAACTTGTACCATTCTGCTTAAAACAGTCATCCCCCCAGAAAAACTGAAGCTAATGTTGCTTTTTCTTAAATATACAAGCAGCTTCAGACTACTTATTGGGGGCTGCAGAGACCACAGACACATTGCAAAATCCCAGTGATTTCAACAGTAGCTTGCAAAATGAAGGCTTATGCTGCAAACCTCTTTCAGATCAACAGCAGGGTTATAGAGGAGACAGGCACACCATCAGTGGATAGACAGTTGTTTTTTGGGGTGGGAACCCCTGCGCTGAAAACTGCAGCCTCATGCAGGCAAATTCCCAGCAAAAGCTTTGCAAAAAGAACTGGAGACATGAGTGGAAGGACATAAGAGGTTCTGCTAAATCTCATTAAGTCTTAAAGTAGCCACGTGAAAAAATTAAGTAAAAGGAAATCCTTTTAAGAGGAGATTTATGCTGAAAAACTGGAATCCCTCTCACCTCACTAACTGCCTAGAAGTTGGGTGTTTCCTTTAAGCTGGTTATATGTGCTCCTCTCCATGCAGTGCAGAGGAACAGGCATCTCTGCAAGGTGAAGAGAGTTAAGGATGGTTTATTCTGCAAGGAGTGAGGTTGATTATTTGCTAGGAGTGATTATGAAATGAAGATCTGCGTTGCTGGGCTTTTTTTGCTGTTGTTAGTATCATGTTTTCCCCTGCAAATACACCATGTTATTTAAATCGGGGAAGTCTTCTGGCCAGTGCTGTCTGGGAAGCTGAGATGGACACCCTTTCATCCCATTTTCTCCTAAATCTTTGAGACAGTTAAGGTGAGTGAGGGACAGGGCTTCATCCTCTTCAGAGTCCCATCACCTCCTTTTGCCTATCCCTTAAGGGAAGGTCTAAATGCATCACTTGGCTTCTGTCTGGATTCCCTGGAGAAAGATGCTGCTCGAGGGTGAGCATCTCATCTCGCCTCCTTCAGCCACTTGGGACATGGGCTGATCCATGTTTTGGAGGCATCCTTCCTCCCTCACCATCTGTTGACTCTGGTTTTGACCCACACAGCTGTGGTTGTAGCAGATGAACAGCTCTCAGAGGGCCTGCATATCAACACCAGCTCCTTCCATATGCATATTTAGGAGCTGATGTCAACCCGTTTGTCCCAGCAGCCACAGCACAAAGTACCCCAGCTCAGGATCAGAGCGTGCACCTTCCAGGTCAGATCTGCTCACACGACAGAGTACACTGAGCTCTTGCCTCCCTCCTCTCAATGTTATTTTCTGCTCTTCCCAAGTCATCGGGCAACGGCAGCTCAGCTGGGATCTGGTCTGCCTTGTTCTAGGTATGTGATGAAGGAATGAATTCTGACCTTCATGAAATCCCAGGAGTGTTGTCCCAAGATTTACTGAGGCTGGGACTTGGCCTCAGATTCCAGCTCCAGCACTTTCTGGTGCTGGTTCTATCAGGCCATGCAAGAGATGCTAAAACTCTTGGGTGAGCAGGGGCTCATTAGTGACACTGCTCTGTTTTTGAGGGCTGAAGGAGCAATAAACACAGCTTCCACCCAACCTTCTGAAACAGATACCTCTCAGGGTAAAATGATTCTTGCAAGGCATGTTGAGGCTTTATCTTTCTTCTGCCCACCCAACAAATATGCAAACCAGGAAATTAAGTGTTAAACTGACTGCATCCCCTTCTACTAGTCCACACAGTGCTCCCCTACTCACTGCAACCACAATGGGAAAGATCAGCCCTTTCTATCACCACGCTCCTAAACATCTCTGGAGGGGATGCTCTGGGTTTGACTAAAGACCTCCAGTATATTTAGCCTTCTTACCTCAACAGCTGTCTTAACATGGGAACTAGCAGACAAAAGCAAAACTCCCTGATAGCCATTCCTTTATGAAGCTCCTTAAAATAGGAGAAGGAGATATTAGCTGACCCCTTTGGAGAAATTTGAAAGCTTGGCTTGGCTTCCTGCACTGGGCTTGGCACTGTAGTCTTAAAAGCAGGGAGGACTAGGGCTTGGAGGAGGGATATATGTCATATAAAATGGTAAATTGACCTTGTTCTAGCACGAAGTGAATCCATAAGAGACTCTGTGAACTGTACAGAAATAGATGGAGTCTGGACATATTAGCACAGGCCGTACCTGGGTTTATAAGCCCTGCTGTGGGCTGTTTTGCCAGTGTGCATACCTGAGTGTTGCAGCTGATACCGACCCTGTTTAGAGGCAGAACTGGCCTCTTCCTGAGACAAACCACGCTCACATAGGCACAATGAGCCGGGAGAGACTTGGTTTGATTTTTAAACACACTGCCTTCCTAACATTATCCACCTTCCTTTGGTTTCTGCCTGCTGTAAGGGAAATCTCTGATGCTCCCTTTCATAACGGCTCCTCTCAGCATTTAATTTCCTTTTACATAATTACGACGCTGGCTGGGAGGAGAAGGAAGGCAGAAGCACCGAGCGGCATGGAGGAGCTCTAGGAAACCTTGCACCTGAGTCGGGAGCGCCAAGCAAGCTCTGCAGCTCGCATCCATCAGCAGCGCCCGCCGCTCAGCACGCGGCCCCGAGATGCGTGACTGCATCTCTGGCAGAGGCAGGGGGGGAGGCAGGGAGAAGGTGCACTGGGGACCCTGAGAGCTCGGCTGCTGGAGCGTGGCAGGCCAAGAGCCCTCCAGGGCTCGGGGAGGCAGGCGGGGACATGAGCTGCCTTGGAAGAGATCGCAGCCTGCTCGGTGCGGTGGAGGAACGGAGGAACTGCATGACCGAGGAAGGGAGGGGGTTGGAAAATGATGCGGCTTGTTCAGTGGATTAGGCAGCCATGCCTGGAAGTGGCAAACTGAGAAAAGCCACAGATTTGAAAGCCTGGAGGGATTATTTGGCTGTGTTGTCTGACTCGCAGCCCAACAGAGGCCAGAAAACTTCACACAGTGCTTTCTGTAGTGAGTCCAACAATCTGCATAACACCCTGGCAAGGCTTTTAGGTTTTGATTTATACATTTTCAGTAGGGTTAATAATGTTGGAAGCAGCAGGAAAAGGGTGCTGGCAAATGTGAGCAGTTCTAGCAGGAGTTGTAGAAAGGCATGTTCATCATGTCAGCACTCTGGAAGCCTGGAGAGCTCATGATGAGAGGTTTCAGGAAAAGATTGCATAAATAGGAGAGGGGAGGCCTCTGTAAACAACTGTGATAGTCATGCTTAAAGTATGGAGGAAGGGGAGAGCAGTCTGACTTGCTGATGCTGGAGATAGTGGTGACCTTGATCCAACCAGCAGAAATTAACCCTGAAGAGCTGCCCAGTTCCAATCTCAGCTCCAAGAAACTCCTCGGGTCGATCAGAAATGGCATGCCACCAAGAGGCTGAATTTGGGAAGCCGAGTGTCATCCCCGGTGTGTGAATTGAGCAGGGGCTGAATAACCCAGCAGTTCATTAGCTGATACCACTGTTGGTCCTTGGAAAGGACAACTGAGCTGGTGACCCTTAGGCAGTCAGCAAGCCCATGGGCATGGCCTGGTAGAGCTGCTCACCCCAGGGCTGGGACAGAGGCATATGCCTCTCAGCTGGGGTTGATGCCCCGTGCTCAGGATGTCATTGCAGCAAAGGACATCAGAATTGGCACGCTATTCCCTGTGGTTGTTTCCAAGCCTCTGCTCGTCTTTCCAATGATACCTGCACTACAACATCTCTGTCCCTACACAATCCCCTCCACTGCCTCCTCCCCTCTCTTTTCTTCGACTTGCTGAGAACCATGGTACCAAAGACTAAACCTTAATTCCTGGGCACCCTTCAGAAAAGCTCCTAAAGCGTTTAGCTTTTTAACCACCACCACCACCACCACCACCACCACCACCCCCCATGCTACACTTAGCACCATCAGAGCATTGCACAGGCATTGAACCGTTTGTCTTCACAACACAAATCCAAATCTGGCCAGTTTTATCATCCTACTTATGTAAGGAGGGAAACTGAGGCAGGGAATGATTGTGTTTGCCCAGTGCCAGGTGGCAAGCAAATGGCAACACTTGCCATAGCAGCAGAGACTGCCTGCCTCCTCCTGATAACACCATAATTTCTTTACACTGGACTGGGTGTGGAAGAGCTGAATCTCATTTTTCCATTGATACTGTTTTTTGTTTTGTTTTGTTTTTGTTTTTGTTTTTTTTTTCTCAGTGGAACGAGCAGAAATTTTACCCAGTGAATGCAGCATGGAGCTGGAATGAGCTTTGTCCAAAGTGGCAGCCCCTTACACGCCCGGTTGCGTAGGGTGGCCTGTTAGCAAAACATCCATCGGCAGCTGAGCATGGGATGAGAGGGGGGAGGCCAGGAGGATGGGGAGGAAGGGACGAGGGGGCCACTTACATGGTAATGTTTCTGCACGGTTCTTTTGGATCATTATGCAGAGCTGTAGCACCAGTTGAGGGGCGCTCTCGAGGAAAGTTTCCAGGAGGCGCAACATATTTACGTCTGCATATTCGTACATCATAGCCCAGTAGAAACGCCGCTGGTGTTCCTTCCGCCTCTGGCTCTGGATCCCCAGGTACATAGTTCGGATATACCTGCAGGAAACAGGAGGAAAAGCTGCGTGTGAGACTGTGGTGTGCATCAAAACCTGAGAAGGACGGGGCTGTGGGCCAGTTGTTTGGGGAGAGAGAGGTTGTCTGGGGGAAGGGGAATCTGGGGTAGACACAGGTCTCTACACAGTTCTAACACGGTCTCCTGGCAAGATCTGAGGACCACTTTTGTATTGCAAGAGTGGGAAATCTTTGACTTGTACCACCCAAATATGAAGTGTGGAGGTAGGAAATGCTCATGAAACACTTGCACAAGATAACAACTTCCTCACTTTGTTTTTATGATGAGGAGAAGCTACTTGACAAATACTGGTTATGGCACTTGGCGGTGGCTTGACAGGCCACCTAAGCCCCTTCTGCACTCTAGTAAGGAGATTCTGTCAGAGACCCCAGAGATCTGACCCTGCTTCATCACAGGTGCAGCAACGAGACACCACCTTCACTTCCAGCACGTGTGTGACCCACATATGCAAAAGGCCACAGCTTGCCAGTGGTCAGCTATTGAGACTTTGAGCAATGTTGGACTAGAAGGAGGTGTCTCACACATGGACAGGTACTGCCCTATCGCCTCTGTTTCCATATCAGGTGTGCAAGGAGACCTGCAGATCTCACCTTGGAGACACAACGTCCCTTCAGGGAACCTCTGACCAACCTTTGTAAACAGCCATGATCCAGTCAGGGTAGCACAAGGTGCCCAGATGTCACAGGACTCATGCCATTTAAGAAAGGAAGCACCTCCTTCCTAATGCTTGCTGATATTAATGATCAAATATTGGGTCTTCTTCCTTCTCATGCTGAGCAGTGGCTGTAACCTTGTGCTCTGAAATTTGGGATGACAATCCTCGCGCCTAACACTGTCCCTAAAGCTGGTCATCTGAGCTAGTCAATGAAGAGAAATGTCCCCTCCTGGGACTGTTCATCTGTCCCACCTCAGATGCCAGCGTGACGGTGGGATGAAGTGCCTTCTGGAGGCTCTGGGAGGGGCTCACAGCACAAACTGGGGTTTCGCCAAAAATGATTAGATCATTCCTTGCCCCTCGGGGCGAGATTGCACAGCAAGGAAGAGCAGAAGGAAAGGACATAAGCCTCGACAGCCTCTGTATCTCCAAATTACACCCAGGGACGGGGAGCTGGGAGAGACGCAGCAGTACCTCTGCAAGCCCTGTCCTTTCTCAAGCACCTTGTCCTTCCTCCCCCTTTGCAGTTCACAAGCACAGAAGATGAATAATCCCAAAAGAAGACACAAGGACACACACACACACACACAAAAAAAAAAAAAAAAATGACGCAGGAAAACCACCAGATGGGGCTCGACACTCGAGAAAAATGCTACGCCAGTCACATACGACACTGGTGACACTGGTGTGACATCTCCAGCAGAGCCCGAGTAGGGTGGAAATGCCCGTGGACCACCTGCTTTCCCATGGACACCAGCCCTCCTCCCACTCCCCAACTTGCCCAGGGCTACCACCTGTACTCGGCATTTCCCTGAAAGATCCCAGCCTCAGAAGCTGCAGGATGACACAGGAATTCTGCCTTCCCTTCACGCATGCAAGAAATTAAATAAATATAGTTCAGCAGGAGAGGCTGAGTTGGGGAGAGAGAGTTGCAATGGCTCATGGAGGAAGCAGAGAAAAGGAGCATGCAACTGGTTTTTATATCAGCGACACATGGCCACCGAAAACCAAGGTGGTGGTGCCCACATGGTGCTGCCCATGGGCAAAGACAGTATCATCTCTGCCAAACTCTTTCCAGAGAGATATTCACCGAATCTGTCCTGTAGTCTTGCATGGCCTCCCCTTCCCAGGAGCTCCCATTCCTGCTTGTACATGAAATCTAATCTCCTCTTCTGAAAGTTAAGCCATTAATTTCTCACCATCCCAGCCACAGACAAGGAGAAGAATTTATTCATTTTCACCCTGAAGCATTCTTTTACCTGTTTTCACACAGTTACCATGTAAAACCACCTTTTCTCCAGACAAAAAAAATCCCCAATTTCTTTCGCTCTCTTTTCACAGTTCACATTTGCTAGACCTCTACTCTTCTGCATTGCTGTCCCCACCAGCTGTCTCCAGTTTTTGGTTATTTTTAAGACTGCCTTCACTTTTCCAAGCACTCCAGGTTGGCAGAACCAAACTATCACAATGGTGTTGAGTCATTCAAAAAGATTAAGAAGAAGCTAACAGAAGGGACACCACATCCTACAATGATTTATCCTTGATCTCTAGGGATTCATGACCATCCACACAGTTTAAACATTAATGTTTCTAACTGGTCATGGTGAGAGGACATGCCACCTATTCGTGGAGGCAGCATGCATAAAAGGACATAAAAAATGATTAATATAACACCCTGATCCTGTCTTCATCAATGGCCAGAACAATGGCAATGACAGTAACGCCAAATGTCTCCTGACTCTTGAGCCCACAGCCTTTTGCAAAGGTCAACTGTATTGTGCCCCTTCCACAGATGGGGAAACTGAGTCACAGAGCACTGAAAGGGCTCTCCCAAAGTCTTCTGGCGTCAGAACCCAGACCTTTTAGTGCTGTTCCCAGCCTCTAAACACCACGAGACAAACATGTGAGTGGAGTACCGCTCTGCCTGCTGATGGTCCTCAATCCAGGGTAGACATACTTCCCTGACACCATAAAGCCCAGTCCTGCCCGATCTGAGCTGTGCTGGAAGACCCAGAAGGACAAATCTGTCCATCTCCAACTGCCACATGGGACTGTGACCTCAGGAATCCCTTGGCATAATATTGGCCAGCGCAAGGTCACAGCCTCCCGAAGGACTAGCACGTGGGCAAAACACCTTCAAAGACCATTTGCAGCTGAAGGGAAATGAACTTCCCTTTGTACTCTCTTTTTGGTCCATGCAAATATATGGTGCTCCTTCTTTAGCATCCTTCAGACTTAAATCTGACAAAGAGAGGAAAGGGAGGACTAAAAACCTGTTCCTCCTTGAAGCCAGACAATTGTGAATTTTCAACAGGAAAGTGAGAGTAACTGGGAAAACCAGTATTTTTGCCTGGTAGGCTTTCAACAAGTAATAAATATCTGTCTAATTAATCAATATAAAATTTCACCCAGCTGTAACAGTGGTAAAGTTTAACCCTATTTCTGAACATGAATGCACAGCACTAGTGTAAGCAGTTTTATTCCAGTATAACTGTTTCTTTGTGGTATCTTATTTACTTGAGGGCTTTTTCCTACCTTTATTAACACTGGTTAAGTGTAGACAAACTCTGGAAAAAGAAAAAAAAATCAATGCCATTTCACCTGAAATTTGTTGTCCTCGGTCAAGCTGGTAGCAAACAGGATTCTATAATTAGACTTTCAAATCCATACTCAGGCCTGATCTTCAATCTTTAGCAACACGATGCTTCCTCTTATGTCAGTGAAAGCCATTCACCACTCTGTGCTTTTGAAAATCAGTCTAATTTATTTATTTAAGAGCTTAATTTTGGATACAGGAGCCTATCTTTGGGCTTTTTATTTTTTGAATGCTGGCTATTTTTATATATGAGTGTGTGTATTTGTGTGTAGGCATGTATTTTTAGTTCTAAGTCCCATCATGGCTTCAAAAGATAGAACTAATTTGGCGTTGGGAGGGGGATTCGGAGTGATTTTCTTTAAATGCACAAAGGATTGGCTGTCCCCTCTGTTCTGGCAGCATTCCCAGAATTCCTGTTGGTATAATTACCCTCATGCTTATTTACTACGTATGTCGCAGTAGCACACAAACTGCGCGGGGCAAAGTCACTGCTGTCCCTGCATCTGAGCACATTTTTAAGGAGCCAAAGCCGTCGGCTCCAAATAACCTTTGGAGAGAGCCCCAGGATGCCACCAGGAGGGAGAAGAAGAGATGCTGCTACTGAAGAAAAAAAAAAAAAAAAAAAAAAAGCAACAATACAAAACACCCTAAATGCTATGGAAAAAGATGCTTCATGTGGATGACAGAGGCCGCTTAGCTGTAGCAGAAATGTCCAGAGTTGGGATTATGGAGTCAGAGGCTCTGTCTATACCATTAAACAAAGCAGACCAAAGACCAGCCTCTGTCCTTGGCCAGCTGACGTGGTTCGACTCCACGTGGCTGCGCCCATGCTAGTTGGCCTTGCCCAAAATTGCCAGAGACTGTGCTGACAATTTAAGAGGGTGAACTATTACAGGATTGTGCCTGTGCTTTGGAACTATTCAGTTTACAGTGGTGGCTCTGAATATCGCCAGCAGAAAGCGTAGGAGGGTGCCTCAGGCAACAGGCTGCCTTGAAACAAAGAGGATGCAGATGTGTAAGGGTAAGGCACGTCAGCATAGGTCCTGGACTGTGTTTTGAGGAAGAAGAGACCTGACAGCCTGTCCCACACAACCACAAGCTGACAAAGGTCAGGAATCTCAGACTATATCTACAATAGTCAACAAAGGACAGGGTCCTGATCGCTTCCTAAGACCAATGGGCCAAGACTGACCACAGAAGTGAATTGTTTCATCCCCCAAAACCAGGTAGCTGCCTTCATACTCAGTAATGGGAATGTTCCGTAGCCCCTATAGTCTTGAACCCTGTCTAGTTTATGATTACTCGGGAGAGTGCTCATAAGCCTTGACCAGTCTAGTGAATACATTAACAATTCAGCAGCATGATGAAGGTACAGTGCCCATGAGCAGGCTTTGAAATTGCCTAGTTTACTAGTATAGGTATATGGAAAGGCAGAAAGGAATAGGCTTTCAGGTACTCAGTCCACTCCCAACAACTCCAGGTTGGGAAGCTCTTCTTGACCAAGCACAGACGAGCCTACTACCGCTTTCAGAGAAGCAAACCCTAGCTTAAAAAATGGCAGAGCATGCTTGAGGAGTAAGAAACTGACCTCTAGGGAAAGGAGAAGCTCAAAAAATTAACTCTGCTGAGTAGGTTGCAACTTACACCTGCAGCACCTTACATGCCCCTTTGGACGAGTAGGATTTATCAAGGCCAGGAGGGCAACAGGTACA